AGAGGTCTGGGCCTTTAAAACATCTGGGCTGCCCTGGCGAGAAGGGGCAGGACCTGAGGGATATATATAAGCGCAAGAGCTGGGCAGACTGACCCTGGCAGGGGAAAGGAAAAGAGCTTTTGAGCAAGAATCTGCAGCCAGGGATGGTGAGTTGGCCTGGGGAGGGGCGAAAGCTGGGGAAAGCAATAAAGGGGGCCCAAGGAAAGGCCAGACCTGAAAGAAATGCAGCAGAGACAAACTGAGCCTGAAGGAAACCTGATAGTAGGAGCCTGAGCAGAAATCCTCACTGAGTGTCCTGCGCTAAGGTGCAGTCTCTTTTTCTGCAGGGCTTGGGTCCCTCTGAGGAGCTTACTGAAACCCATTCCTTTATAACCACCTTTGCCACCAAGGACCAGTGTTTCCTCCTGTTCTGCAGCATGCTAGAGAGAGGTGCAATAAATAGTGGGCATTAGGGCTCAGAGTTAATATTAGCTTCTTTAGAAACCTCTCTATGGTCTATGGGTCTCTATAGCACTGCCAGGAGTTTCCTTAAAGACTAAGATATATAGGATGAGTGCTTTGATACTACATTTCATCAAGACAGGCTTAGAGGACATAGGTGAACCAGTCATCAGCATTTTTGCTATTCTTCTTTCTACCCAAGCTGACCCTAGTGTTTGCACAGGAATAGGAGAATTGTGACATGTCTACACGGTGATCAGAGAGGTGACTGCAGCACAGGTAGACATTCCTGCAGTGGCTTGAATCCAGATAGCACAGGTAATGCTGAATATGTGATAATGTGGAATTCAATGCCAGCTGTACAAACCCATCGGTACCCTGGGCACATACCTGGATCCCTTGGTGCTCCAGAATTTTGTTCCAACTTGTCTCTGCTGCTGCTGTTCCCCATGTTAGTGAGATTAAAGCCAGTGGGGGTATGCCTTCCCTTCTTGCAATCACACTGATTATAGTGTAGCCATAACTTTTATGAAAAATGCCAGGGTGGAGAGAGCACAAGAACAAGAAAGAACAAAAGCAACCATCTCCATAAGGGAGCACAGCATGTCTCTGTAAGAATATGCTGCTTTGGCTGGTTCAGCAAAAGGGAGCAGATTTCCAGCAATCATGGAGAGTGCAGCACAAAGAAAAAAAAAAGGTGGAAGGGGAGGGGGAGGGCAGAGCGGAGAGGTTGAGTGGGGGGAGGGGAGGCCAAGCAAAAGTTATGCAGCTAATTCAGATAGAGTCAAGCCAACCCCTCTGCCAACCTGGTAGCTGTTTTCCCCAGTAGTTAACTGTTCACAACATATGCCTTGCATGCATGGTGCAGGTCCTTAGTTGTGAGCTTAGCCCATGGGCCTCTAGTCTGCCTTCTTGCAGTGATGCTTTTTTTTGTATTCTAAGCTTCAGAACAAACTCAGATTCTACACTTTGGAGAGAATACATTTTTTTGCAAGCAGCAGAAAACAGAAGCATTTGGAAATAGTACCAGATTGCAAATGACAAATATTCTTCCTTATTTGTCTACAGTGCTGAGATGCTCTACTAATATTGTTTTTAAAAGTCCCATGGATATATATACATTTCATATATATATGAAATGTTTGGGTGGTCAATGTTGCTGTTATGCACCAAAATCCTTGATTTAGATGTATTCCTTTTTTTTATTTTCCTAAATCGCCCTCTTCCTCCCAGAGGCCTTTCTTTCTGCAATGGCAGAAGTTCAGGATTTCTCCTGCAACAGTAGAAGATGTTGCAGTTGCCTAAGGCACAGCATGGAGTGGGCTGGACTACATTGTTAGCCAACTCATCACCTGTCATAGGCAAAACAAGAAGCACTCAGTCGGTCCCTATTGTTCTTCACCCGCTCTGTACTGGAGCTGGCACTGCAGAATCCTAAGCTATGTGGTGGTGGGGGGGGTTTCCTGAGCTACTTCTTGCTCCTAAATATAGGATACACTTCTGTAATGGGATCAAGTAACCGGGATCCTTCAGTATGAGTAAGGGGACAGACCAGGTTTGTTTCATCTCCAGGGCTGCATGTCTAACTAGCATCTGATTCTACTCTATTCATCATCAGGCTGCAGTAACAGAGGCAGGCAAAACCTGGTATTTGACCGTGCGTAGCCTACAACAGAGTTCCCAGCTGCCCAGTTGGTGTGTGCCAATGGCTTACAATCTTTTCCATGCTGTGACCACATGTAGAAATAGCTAAAATAATTCAGGCGCTCCTCTCATCTAGACATTAATAGAGGAAGGGTTACAATCCTCCTAGCACCTGAGCTTGGAACTCCTGCTGCTTGCTTGATGGATGCCTGTCCAGTTCTGAGAGCCAGTGGTTGTGTTCACACAAGTGTGCAAAATTGGAAGCTGTGACTGAAAATATAGCTATTAGTATTTAAATCTAAATATGTTCAGCTACATCTGGGATCTTAACTGACTTTAATAATTAAGGAATGAATAGAAATCTATTGCTTATCTGTTACAGGGCATATCTTCAGTAATTAAGTAATGACAGTTAATTCTTTCCCACCATTTTAATATACTGCTTTTCCATTTCTGGTTGTAGAATTCAGTCTAAGAATCTAAGTGTGAATCTTATGTGCTTCATGCCGCATACATGTAGTGCATTGCCAAAGTAGGATTATTTCCATTACAGGTGAATGACTACAACAGTGTGATCAGTAGAGGTAGCCAGGGCGTGTAAGAATGGATCCTGCCCATTAAGGTGTGATTATAATTGAACGGACATTCCCATGCCACCCTTCTAGAACGCTTGTGGTCATGAATGATCTGCCTACTGAACCGTGTTTCTCTGTTCCATTGTAGATCTCTTACTGAAGCAAAAAGCCCTTTCAGGATTTTGTGACTGGTAAGCGACACAATATTTCCTTCTCTCAGAACTACTGTACTAGTTTGTGCAGAAGCTTCTATTTTTGTTACTGCACATTGTTCTGTGTCAATATGTGCATATGTGTTGGGGGGTACATGTATACATCTGTTACTGGCACTTAAGCCTACTGTTTCGGTGAGTCTATAAGAACCTTTTAGAAAGGTTATGAATGGCTGAAATAATTGAAAAACATTATTTAATGGATGCTGAATTACCTTTCTCTCTTTGGAGTAGCACTAGTGAACACTAAATGCTCTGATAAACACAAGGGGCCTGATAGTTCACTCTGTGCTGGAGTAACTCTATCACAATCAAAAGACTTACACTAATGAAACTGAGCAAGCCCAGTAATTGTATTGTTTGGGATGGACCATCAGTGGACATCGTGGGCTATTGATGGGCTACTTCTTCTTTGAACCTCTGGGGTCAGGGATTCGGTTTGTCAGATAGAAATCAACAGCCACTAGCTCAAGAGTCTATTAAAGCAAAACAGAAGAACTGGTAGTTTGGCCTTCCTTTGTATTTGAATCCAAGACTGGTGCAAGACTATTGACTTCATTAGGGTCACCCTTGAATTACACCAACAGAATTCAGGGGTGCCTTTCAACAGATTAACTTTCTAACGGGCATCCACTAGGTGGGTTTATAAACTAAAATGGAGGTATGTGCCAAGACTCACTCTGCCAAGGTTTCAGCCCCGACAGCATTTAAAATGAGTCTGCATGTCTGCAAGTGTAATTATTTCTGTTCTGTGGTGGGGTGGGGAGGGAGAATGGCCAATGGCAGAGTCAAATTTTATTGTTGCATTTCTGTAATCTTCAAAAGGAAACAGAATGGGCACCCTCCATTCTTCCTGGGTAAACTTTGATGGATAAAAACTGAAAACTTCAATTGAGAAACTGACATGATGATTTAAATAAAAGCAGGGATGCCTCAAAATCATTGTGGAGGCTCAGATGTTCCTAAGGGCAGGATTCAGGAGACCTTTTGAAAGATCAGAAAGCAAAGTGATATGTAGGAATAGAGCAGCAATTCCCCTCAGGACCTTGCAAAGGAGCACGGTTTAGATAAAGAACAAATGGAGCAGTTTGGTTCTGTAAGAAAATGTGAACAGTCAGAAAGGCAGGAGTCCTGGCTTTACCTGCACCAGGCAAGACAATGTCATCATCTGTAACCTTTCCAGTGACGGGCTTGTTTCAAACCATCCCATAGCAGGTGCTCTTCCACAGCTACCTAGTCATTTCACTTGTTTTCCTTTTGCCACACAGATGTGATGGCAAATTGCATGGGAAGTTTATTAAACCTGGTTATTTTCCTCTTAATTCTAGGATCCATCTAGTTCAGCCACAGAGACTCGGCTCCACCTCCAAGTGGAGAATAAGAGGAAACAAAAGTGCCCCTAGTACTAACACCCTGCTATACCTTGTATGAAAGGTTGAAGTCCTAAAATGTGATGCCCCAAACTAATTGGTTTCTAGAAACCACTGACAAGGAGGCAAATTAAACTTGAGGTGTGTTTTTTAACATACAGAAGTTCTTTAGAGTCAGTAAAGTATCAGTGTTGGTTTTAATAGCCTTAGACAGTCATGATGAATTCTGGATAACATCTAGGCTTATTTACCTTGCAGAGTAACTAGATATAATGATGGCACAGAGCAAAAAGGAGTGTTTACATAGGGGAATGACTTCATTTAGAAGGGGAAAAAGATGAGAGAAAGCGCTACTAAATCACGTTCCTATGTGTTCAGAATGAGCAGCAGACAAATTGCACTTACCAGGTGGGCACATAGAAGAGTGAACATATCCAGGTTACCCCTTTCTTGAATCTTGTGCAGTTGTCCCAGCATGTTAAAGGTGATCCCTGGGGCACAATGCTCATGACCATTTCACTATTGACAAGCTGAAAATTATCTTGGTGAAACATGAATGTAACATCTCTCAGAAATGAGGGAGCAGCTTTAGAGCTAGTGGCCATTTCATATGGCTCTTTTAAAGGCAGTGAAGACACTCCCAATTACATTACCTGAGAATCTGACCAGTTTTTAAGTTTATTTATATTATGACCTGTTAACATGAAAATTGCATCATGGAAAAGTTGGACAGAACTATGAAGTTCAGACAGGGAATGTGTGCCGTCATTTATTGGGTGTCTGTCATAGCCTGGAAAAAACCCCATCATTAATTTAGTGGGTCTTTGTATAGGGGCATGCACGGACCCATCCTGGGCAAAATAAGTTACCCATAGAATCTGAGTAACCAGATCTTTCTGTATGAAAATTCCTTTTAAACTCTAGACTTATTCGATGGCTGATTGTTTGAGGCAAGGGGTTAGTATTCAAGGTAACAAAACGGCTTTCATTGCTTTACTTAAACCCAAAAGAATATAACAGACCTTCATGTATAACAGGAGTAAGCGTCTCATCCTTTATCTGCCTCATCCAAGTGAGATCTGCTGTCACCTTAAGGAGGTTGGCTTGAGCATATTACTATAGACTCTTCATTACTCAGCCCCAATGATAGCAGTGATGGGTGGTGCCCCAGGTAGACCGTCCTTTTAAGGCTGCTGGTATTGTTGGGGAAAACTTGTCCCCGGTTCGTTGGGCGGAGGCTCAGATGAACAGACTACTCAAAGTTAAAAAGAACTTGGTTTATTAGAGAATGCATTCTGGACAGACTCATACACAATTGGAGAATTGTGAAGAGGTCTGACCCCGTACAATAGGTGAGGCGAGTTCATATAAAAAATATGACATCATAAGCACAGCAACAGCATATACCAATCAGCATTTGCCATGACTTTGTTAGTAATACGCATGCTTCTACTTATGTTTAGTTTAGCAGTGTTAGTTTAGGGGGTTTCTTCTAGCTTGTAACCACAGGGTCACTTCCCGTTCTGGGCTGACTCAGCAGGCCAGTACGTGACCTGCTCAGAATTGTTTTTACACTAAGTTTCTGCTTTCACTGGACTAGGACAGGATTGTTCCAGTTTGCTGTAGCCTAGCGGTTTTGGGTCATGTCCTCTTGACTTCCCCATAGCCTAAGCCGGGTACGTGATCTGCTCGCTTACACATAATGGCAATTCAACTCCATTTTATTTCCCTTCAGTATAGCTGTCTCATTCTGCTCAGAAGACACAGCACGAGAGATGGGAAACCTGGTCTACCCTGAGTATGAGGCAACCAAAAGCAAGGCCTAGAACTGTGGTTCCCCCAAACAAAGGACAGATGTTTGTGGTGGCTTTAGTGTGCCTTCCTTAAATGCTTCAAGAAACAATATAAACTGAAACCTTGCAGCTAATTAGAGAGCTTTAGTAGTGCACAAGTACACAGGGGATCTTTTCATTGTCTTAGTCTTAAACCACCAGTGCAGTAGGGCAAAGATTTTGCTGTACATTGCTGCTTTGGCTATGCTTGGGCAATGGTGGTGGGATTTTTCACAGGCTACAGGTTGTGGACAATAGTTAAACTGGAGGTTCTCTTCATTAACAAATCGTTGCCTAACAAATCTTCCTCTTCCTGTTCTCCACCCACGGGTGGCTTTTGCTTTGCTGTGCCTCTTCCACTGCCATGCTCAAAAGTTTAATTTTCTTTAGGGAGAGAGGGACCTGATGATCAGCACATAGGGATCCAACTTGGGACTTCTGTCAGTACTTGAGCCCCAGATTCAGCTAGAGCTGGACCCACTAGCCAAGGCAGCAATAAATTCCTATCCTCTAGACTAGGTACACATGAGGACCTGTAATAACACCCTTGCCAGTGAGTTGCATTAGCAGAACTGACAAGAGTACAACATGGCAGGGACTGTGATATTATAGACTTCCCTTCGCCAGCATGCTGTCTGTTTTTGTGATCCAGTAAAACAAATGAGACTCTGAATGCTAATAAACTTATAATGGGGTGGAGTTTATTGAGCACTGCACAGTCTTATTCCTTTCTCTGAAGCATCTAGTATAGCTACTGTTAGATACCAAGCAAATAATTTGTAGCAAATGTATTTAATGACTTCTACTTCTTTCAGCTGGCAAATTGTCCATGAATAGATTTAGTTGTTCAAAATGACTTGCCAGATACCTTATTTGACTAATTCTTGGCCTGTTGCTTGCTTGGAAGCATTTGGGATTTGAAATGCAAGCTGTCGTGATTGGAGGCAAGTCGCACGGTGTTTCTCTTCCTTGGTTGGATGAGCATAGCTGAATAATTCTTAGAACTGATGTTCCACTATAAATACTTGTAAACCCATTCACTTGAGGGAAGCCTCCACAAGAGGCATCTGAGCGGTCAAAGTGAATGCATTTAGGAGTACAGAAAAATATTTGTGGGGAAGCCTCTTGCTAGAGTTCATTCTGCTGAAATACTGGAATTGGTAAGCTACTGGTGGGCCTGCAGCCAACTCTGCCACATATAAAAAGATTTGGTATATAGCCACACATTTTACATATGAGTGATGTCCCTGCAAACATATCTAATCACTGGCTAAGGTAATTGCTGCAGAGCTAAACTAAGACAAGATGGACGAGGACCCAGATCAACCAAAACATTGCAGCTTTTATAATCCTCACACCTCTGTTTCAAACTACTGCCAGTCCAGCTCTTCCTGTCATCTTCCCCTTTCAAGGTCTTTCCTCCACTGGAAGGGGAGAAGCTATTCCTTTTCTTCTGCTTTTTGTGGTTTGTGGCTTTCTTTCAAGTTCAGCTTGTGTATCCTGGTCTGACCTTCTGGCATAATGGCTTCTCATCATGCTGACATGAGGCCCACTAAAGTTAATCCCCTCCAGTAAGCCTGCTACCACTCCCTGGTGAGACTAGAGACAGAAGAGAAGAAAACATAAAGCCTTCTGTTATGCATCTCAATGCCCTTTACATTATCTGTCTGTTTAGCTGACCTGTAAGTATATTGAGACAGTGTCTTCTGCAGTAGCCAGCACATGGTCAGCACTTAACTGGAGGTGGAGCTGTATGTGGCAAGTAGGTTGCTGGGAG